ATACCCAGCACACGGCACCTTCCACATCCATACCCAGCACACAGCACCTTCCACATCCATACTGAGCACACAGCACCTTCCACATCCATACCCAGCACACGGCACCTTCCACATCCATACTGAGCACACAGTGCCTTCCACATCCATACCCAGCACACAGCGCCTTACACATCCATACTGAGCACACAGCGCCTTCCACATCCATACTGAGCACACAGCGCCTTCCACATCCATACTGAGCACACAGTGCCTTCCACATCCATACTCAGGCACTGACTGGCCACAGGGAAGAGAGGAGGGTAGAAGAGACGGAGGTAGGACAGGGAGTTTTGTCAAGGGCATGGAGTGATAGGATGAGAGGAATAGATTTAAGCTGACAGAGAGGAGATTTAGATTGGATATAAGGAAGAAGCTCTTCCCTGTGAGGGTGCTGAGGCGCTGACACAAGGCGCCCTGAGAAGCTGTGGCTACCCCATCCCTGGCAGTGTTCAAGGCCAGGTTGGATGGGGCTTGGAGCAACCTGCTCTAGTGGAAGGTGCCCCTGCCCATGGCAGGGGTTGGAGCTGGAAGAGCTTTAAGGTCCTTTCCATCCCAAACCATGCTGTGATTTTTCTTATTCATGCAGAGCTGAGAAGGTGCCCAGCAGCTGTCAACAACCCACCAAAGCCACAGAGCCCCTCTGGCCTTTCCATCAGTTGGCTGGAACCATCAGCTCGGTTCAGATGGAGCATGGCTGTTTTCCATCTTTCAAAGAAATGGATAATGCAGGTGCTGTTGCAAGCTTATTCATTCCTCTCACTCGGAGGAGAAAAATTCCTTCCCTTCCCAAGCACTCAAAGCCAGATCCTCCAGATGTTGGCAGAGCTCAGGGTGTTGAGAGCCTGAAGCCAGTTTCAGTAACATCCTGGTTGTATGGATTTACAGCAGAAATTGCTCCTGGCTTGAACGCTGCCAAAGAGCTAAGAAGTCTCCCTATAAACTCTTGATAGTGGCAGGTCCCAGATCAGAAATGTGCATTCTTTGCTTGAAGCTGCACTTTCCCTACTGGCATTACAAGAGCTGTTTAAAACACATGGAACGATTTCTCCCTGGGAGATGTGGCTACAGCACCTCGGTTAACGCGTTCCTTCCCTGCTGCAGAATGAGACTTGGAGGCAGGGCAAAGTTCGGGGAGTTTTAATGAAAAACGATTTTTTTCTTCCTGTAAACTAACCAGATTTGCCCTTTTTTTCTTCCTCTTTTTAAAAGCAGGTTATTAACCTTTAAGCAGATGGATATACAATAACCTTCTCACGGGCAAGGACGGGAACAGCCACGCAAGGTGCACCTACTTACAGCCAGCTGGAGCCCACATGGAAAGGTGTTGCATTTAATCTGAGACAAACAAGTGTTTATTATTTGTGAAAGGATCTTCCACTTTCTCTTGCTTTTCAGTTCATAACTTACTCACGGGGCATAGACAGATGCTCCGAGTTAGGGATCTGCTCCTTTGGCTGCAGCCTCGCTGAATTCCTGGGTCTCATTTTACGGTCCTTTCTGCTCCGAGCCTTTTCCCCTGCCTGGTTGGATGAAGTGTGGCAAAGGGGGTAGTGCTCCCCAAGGCACGCAGCAGCATCCGTGCCCAGCACCCAGCTGAGACCTGGCCCTCCCTTTGAAGGGAAGGTTTCATGAAAGGAGGAGCTGTGAGTTTTCAAACAGGCAGAGCAGCAGGTGAGAAACTGTGTTTTCCTTGAGTGCATTGAGTTAGGCTGAGAGAGCTGGGCTGGGTCAGCCTGGACAAGTGAAGGCTCCTGAAGGAGAGACCTTAGAGCAGCTCCAGTGCCTAAAGGGGCTGCAGGAAACCTGGAGAGGGGCTTGGGACAAGGGCCTGTAGGGACGGGCCAAGGGGGAATGGCTTTAACCTGGCAGAGGGGAGACTGAGATGAGCTCTTAGGCGGAAGCTCTTCCCTGTGAGGGTGCTGAGGCGCTGGCACAGGGTGCCCAGAGAAGCTGTGGCTGCCCCATCCCTGGCAGTGTTCAAGGCCAGGTTGGACACAGGGGCTTGGAGCAAGCTGCTCTAGTGGAAGGTGTCCCTGTCCATGGCAGGGGTTGGAACTGGATGATCTTTAAGGTCCCTTCCAACACAAACCAGTCTGGGATTCTATGTCACATACATGCAAAAGAGAACTTTCTAAAGGACTATGGGCTTATCTACTGGACAAGTATGCGATGTCCCCACTGGGCAGGGGGATATCCATAAGTGGCACTTTTAAGTCATTCCCAGGCTTTGGCTTGTAGTTTTACAGGTTCCCATTGCTGTACAGAATGGGGTAGGGGGTAGAAGAGAGATGCTTCACCCTTTAAAAGCACAGTGTACAAGAGCAACCACATCTCATATCACACATGGAAAACCTCACACAGGTCTGTATAGCCAAAATTCTTGGTCAAGCAATCCAGCTTTCACCTTTTTCCAGTCCTCCACCAACTAAAATTTAGGTTAAAACTCCAATAGATGTGACTTAATTATTGAGCTGGTAGTTTCTTTTTCTTATGACTCTGTAGAAATACTCCCAACATGGGCTATTTCTCTTTAGAGACACACAGTTATCCCATTGCCCTTCTTATCTGTTGTCTTCCCCATCCTGCATACCGTCTGGTAGTGAGCACTGATTCAAGTCTGTAGACCTAATGAAACCAGGACAAAATTGCCTTGATCTCAGCCCCCAGTCACTGCAGTGCTGTCCTGCTTGTCTGGAGTCGAGTAAACAGGCATTTAAAATGAGTAAAGGAAATGTGAAGGGGAATTACTGGATCCTTTTTCAGACAAATGAAGACAACAAACAGGCAACCTTGCAGGGAGAACCTTTGAGCTGCCCTCTTTCCAGTCGGAAAACTCCCTGTGTGCTGCTAGCTCCATGCCACTGCACTTAATTGCCTCAATTGTCACTGTTATCCTTTAATGGGAAACACAACCCGCTTTCAAAGCAACCACAAGAAGCTGCAGACAGGGGAATCCTGAAGATCAGCAGAGGTGGGACTTCATTACAGCCCTTTCCATCGGGCTGAAATTACACAGGGTGCACCAGGAATGTCACTGAATGGCTTCAAGCCAGGGCAGGCTTGACTCAATGTCAAGGCTAACAGTCCTCTACCTTGGTACTGAGCTACCCCAAACTCCAAACAAACACTTCAGTCAAAAGTGTGGTCATTCTGCTAAAACACAGGCTTGGGTACTGGTGTTCAGTCCTGGTTTTAACCCACACAGCTCCTAAGGCTTTGGGTATATGATGGTCCCTCTCCATTTCCCTGTCTGCAGTTCCAGGCTGATCTGTAGCCAAGGCAGGAGGACCATGCAGCTCAATGTGCTTAGATACAGCAGTAGCAGGCTGTATATAAATATATCATAAAAATGTATTATATATGTATATATGTATATATATCATAAAAAGAACTTACATCATCCTACATGCACTCCCAACAGTGCAAGATACAACTGAAGGATCCATGACCCAACAATAAAGCACAATCTAACCTATTTTTCCACTAAGCAAATGCCTACATATCAATGTTAGGAAGAGGAATGAAGTAACTAACCTGCTCATGGGTAACCTTCAGATCCTACAGAAAGATGCATAGAATACCATGCTCAGAGTTTTCTGGCAGGTTTTGACAGAAAATGATTGTTTCCAGCCTAAAAATTAAAAGACAATACAGGTGGAATATCTATCTTCCCAACCCTTCAGGACCAGACTGAAGTCAGCAACTAGACCAACTGGATGCTCATTTTCTTGCATATATTTAATCTAACACAACTTTGCAGAATATGTTGTTTAAAGATGCAAGTCTTTAAGAAGAATGATGAAAAAATTCATACTCACTCTGTCTGATCTCTGGCCATGGGATTTAAAATCCATCTTCTCACCAGCACCAGCAGTTTTAGTTTGCCTTTCCTGTATTGCGCTGTAGCAGCTTCCATGGGAAAGGGCCTGGCAGAAGATTTATGCACTATCAAGTAATCATTTTCATGGTGAGAAGGTGCTCTACTTTGAGAAGCACCCACAGTACCATTCATTATGCCAAATCTTGAAGGTATTTTAACATTAAAATTGCCCACCTAAATCCAGTTTCATGTATCTCAGTACAGCATTCTTCCAGAGTGCTCAGCACTCACCAATACAGCCTAAAAGCAGAATGAGCCTGAAGTGCTGAACATCTCCTAAATCCCACCTCGCAATTATGGTGCTAGCTGTGTCTCCAAGGCCCTGGAGTTTAAAAGGCCCTTGAACTGATAATTGACAGGGATAAACTACTTGCTGCAGTAAGGCATATTTGAACCGCACCAGCGGAAGCATGATGGATGGCAGGAGGTTCAGGAGTAGAAGCGGGAGATGGCAGGAGACAGTAATTCAGAACATTACAGCTCGAATCGGCATGTCCTGTAATGAGATAGTGGAGCTGGGAGGAAGAAAAGAGTCAACATGTTGTAGAGAGAGTTGGTGATGCTAAAAATGACATCAGTGGCAGGGCAAGCACTGTGGCACCTCACACCATCACACCTATTGCTATGCACAAGCAGCACGCCCCAGTGCTGCAGCACCGCTGGAAACAAAGAGCTGCCACCACACTGGATTCCACAGTCTTCATGGCTCCACCAAAGCTCTTTTCTCCAAAGCACCATTCTTTAACATTTGCTGTCTCTCTTCACAAGAAGAGAAAGGATCTGTTCCCTATTTCTCCAAGATAAATGCTACTGTCAAACCTTGGCAGAAAATTAGAGTAACATCTACTCCCCTCAAAAAGGTGACTGGGATGAATTCGTGCAAAGCCAACTTCTACTTCAAAGACGACCATCCAACTCCAGTTATGGGAAAGACAAAACACTGACAGATCTTTCTAAAGTACAGTGTGGATATTCAAGTTTAACACAGATTTATGTAGTAAAACAGCCTGTTGCTGCAATTCTCCCTTCTAAATGCATCCGCGTTTCCTTGTGCTGCTCCAGAAGGGAAACAAAATGAATATTCCATGGATTTACTTTTTAATATACCAATATTAACCCTTTTTTTTTATAGTATATATACAATGAAAAGTTAAAAATTATCTTAATTTAAAGATTGACAACAAACCCATTTGAAATCAGACATACAGGTACATCTTACCTTCACATTTTCCATCAGGAACATCACAATTACAAACACAGGGGGAAAGCAGACCATTTTCCACTGGATTTTTTATAGTTAATTGCCCGTTTTCTCCATGGCACAAAAGAGACAAATTACCATCTAAATGAGATGCAACTGCAAAATGCCAACGGATAGTACATGATGTTAGGTCACTGGACATTTTGTGGATGCTTTGGGATGCAGGCACAAGGGCCTGTTGCTTTTCTACTGACCTGAGACTGTAAATCAGTTTAGGAGGGCTGATTAGGCTGTGCGCACTTAATAATATTCCACCAAACATTTCAAAGCCTCCGTGTGCCTTTTAACACTGTGCAAAACTGCCTCACTGAGAAAGAACCAGGAAATCACAGCAGCTTCACTGCTCTGTGTAAGGAAGATGTTGTAACTCAGTTAAACTGCTTTGGCCTGCCAAGCTGAGATCAGCCCCAAAAGAGCAGCCAAAACTGAAGTGACTACTGCATTGTCACAATGACCCTTTCAAAGCAAACTACTCAAGGGAAATATGCTGGTATCTCCTGATGCTCAAGCACCACGACATAAATCAGTGGGAAGATCCAGAAAGAAAGTTCATGTCAATGAACCTGAGAGGCTGTAAAAGAGAAACAGCAAGCGACAAACCTCCTTCTCTCTTGTGACACCCACTGTGCAGACAGCAGTTGTTATCACTGCAACAGCTATCCTAGCTTCCCAATGCCCCCTCCCACAGCAACTTAGGAACGAAACAAAGACTGCAGGGAAAAACATTTACTAGTAATTAAATGTTCCCAGAGAATCAGACGATACAGTTTACAGGCACATCCCAGGGGAGTTATGAAGTGAAGCATCCCCTCAGAGCTATTGTTCCAATATGATTTTCATTCACAGCACATCCACTGCATTGGGCAATAAGATAAGTCTTAGTGGGGGTGAGACAAATAGGAGCAGATGTTTCCTGTTTCTAGCCTGACTTTCATTTGGTTTCTGTCATTGCTGCGTATCCAGCTTAGGAGAGGGGGTGAACCGTGATGCCTAACACTTGTCCTATTGTTTGGGGTTTGGCAAAATCTGAGGAATAAGGTTGCTTGCAGTGAAACAGAAAAACAGCCCATCAAGTAGGATTGTCTCTGTAGCTGGCAGTAATGGAGGTTTCAAGAGACAATGAAATCACCCATATCTGGTAACAAACATTTTATCAGTGGTGATGGAAAAGAGATCCTTTTCTCACCCCAACTTGGGATCCTCTTTAACACTAAAAGGCAAAGTTAACACTAAAGGAAATTTTACTTCTCGTTTTGTTGCATTCAGTTTTCTAATTGAGGTTCATTTCAGCACTGAGAAACAATTCCAGTGCTGCATGTTTCAGTAGGAGCCTGATGCTCCTTAAACTACAAGCAGAAGACTGAATGGTAATTCAAGGGAATTTGTAAGTGTGCATTAATAGTGTCTTGTACATACACACATCCCTCCACATGGAAGCTGTAACTGAGAAGTTTTGTAAGTTTAAGGGTTTTACAAATCAATACTACAACACATGCTTGCTGAAGAGGATTCAGATGAGAAGAAACATACTTTATAACTGTTCTTACCTATGGCTGTGACATAAAACTGTGACCTGGCCACTGTTTTGATAATGAAAACAAAAAACACAGTAAGACTGAAAGACACATCTTTTTTCCATTGTAACACAACCAGTTTTGACAAGGAGTCACAGTCTCTTGCATGGATGTAGCAGAAAACCTGAGAAGAAGAGGTGCAGCAACTGGGGTTCTCTTCCTGCAGGTCTCTGCTCTGAAGGAGACCATCCACCCAGCTGCTGCATGTCTCAATCTGCACCACCATCATTTTGGAAACACAAAATGCTTTGCCCTTTAAGGCATGTGACAACGCACGTCTTTTTGTTGCTGACGTTGTAAAAAGATAAATGCTTGTCTCACCATGGAGAAGAAAATGATTGTTACACAGTTGCTTAAGCCAACAATTAAGCTCAAAAGACAGAGGCTCACCAACCACACAGGCAATAAGCTCCTCTGAAAAGAGAGCAGATATACACTGCAGACAGTTGCTTTGGGTGGATGCTACAACCCAGAGAGCTGCAGGACATTTGACAGGAGAGGTCAGTCATGCCAGTCAGAGGGCGAGATTCTGGTTTATTCTTCCAGATGCATAAAGTCTCCTTTGGAGAAAAGTGCGTGGGGGGCATTTCTGGAGGGCCCATGAACAGATTCAATCCTCTGTGACCAAAAGAGAAGCAGTTTTTCAGCTTTCCATTACACCTTTGTGCAGTGTAAAAGGAAGACAACATACCAGAATGCAACATGCATTCCCATCTCCCTCAGATGTAACCCACTCTCCAGCGATTCTTCAGGGCCACATATTCCTTTTCATTCCTTTTTAGCACCTTTTCAGCTGTCGTTTTCATCACTCAGGGTTGTCTCACAGCTGCCTTTACAAGCTGCCAATATTGGGAAAGCTCTTCAGTTTCTCAGGAAAGTCATCTTTGTACAGGACGGGGTCAGCACGGTGCTCCACCACTTTGAGAGGCATGGTCCCAAAGACAGAGGCAAACTTATTGATGCATTCAGACCTGGTGAAAGGGAAAAGCAGCGTCATTAAGAACCCCAACAACTGGGCTGGCTATCAGCTCCCACACCAACATAACAGGGAGAAGCCTTCCCTCTTGTGCTTGGAAGTATTTCAGTCATGCTGGCTACTAGTAACTAAAAAAGAGAGCCCCACTGCAGAGAGAACTGGTGTTCTTTGATTTATCCATTTAATCACAGAGACGAGCAAGGGGATGCTGGCAGCAGCACATGTGCACATGGAGGTCAAAGCTTCCCTTCTCCCTCCCCCTAAAATTCCAGTCATTCTTAGAGCAATGTACATGCTGTAAACCAGAACAGATTAACTGCCAACATGTCTCTTAAAGGGCCACTGTTGGGTCAGGTTGGCTCATAACAAGGGTTTTGCAAAAGCCAAGCCTTTGTGAAAATGGAGTTCGAAGTAAAAGTCTGGGGTTTTTCAGGCTTCTTCAGAAGTTCTACCTTTTCCCACAGAAATAAACGTGTATGGTCAGCACTGACTGCACTGTAACTTAAAAGTGAAGCTGAATTAAATCTCTAAAATGAAAGCAATCAGTTTATCTTCCTTGTCTAAATACAAAGATCCTGAGCGGTTAAGGCACATAAGCAGAAAAAAGATGGGACCGCTGATGACTCTTTCAGTTTTAATAACCTCAGGTGTCAGTAATGCTGCGGAAGGGAACAGCTATGTGCTTCAAAAATCAAGCACACAGATGTTTAACCTTACATTGCTCCTTTAACTCTTTCACTGAAAGAATTTCCCTACCTGCGGAAGCAAGGCAGGGAAAAGCTTGTCTCACCCCCCCCTGCAGCTCAGCTAACACCAGCTGTGTACTTGATAAACCAGCTTTTAAGAACCTGAGACACCAAGAACCATGACAACAGTCCCTAAGACATAATATCAGACTGAGACAAGAAAACAGGTCACATTTCTTTTGCCATTCAAAAGCGAAAACACAAAGTGAATGAGTATTCTGACTCAGATACAGAGGCTGATGTGCTGCAGGCAGTCCCAGAGCAGGTCCCCTGCTCTCCAACCACTGCACCCTCTCCCGACCCCTTCGAAGGGTGAGGGGGTCACTGTGGCTCCAGGATAATTTTCCTCAACAGACCCGGTCAATCACAGCAACTGAGTGTGACAGCTTTGTGATGGGGACTGCTCAGCACTGCCCCAAATACTCTTTTGAAGTAGATGGGACAGCAAGACTGGCTTTCAAAATCAATTCCTCAGCCTCTGAGCCATCCCATGGCTCCCTCCTTAACTAAATGACTGGAAAGCACAAAGTCCAGGTTGTTAATGTGCTGCATCACTACGTGGCTGTTTTAAGCTACAATGGGCACATTTTCAGACCATTTTATGGCTTGAGAAAAGTGGCAGAAAACTAATTCATATGGGGTGACACTTGAATAAAATATTTATATACAGGTAAATGCAGATATTTCACTTCCTGCTGTGTTCTCATCCCCTCATACTTCTTCCTACCTCCAGATTCAAACCTTTGGAAACAAGCAAGGAATTCAGAGTGTAAGAGGAAACTCAGTGCAGTGGAAAGCAACCTTTGGATCTGGCTCAAGCACTATTTGCTCCCAGGTAGCACAGATCTGGAACAGCAAAGGAGCCATCAGTCAGGACTTACGTGAAGAGAGCCAAGTTCAGTCTCTTCAATAACAAGATGAACCATGAGGAGGGTGAGCTTTGGGCCATAGGCACAGAAAGGTTGCAGAAATATGGACACCAGGAACTGCGTGTTTTCTCCTGGAACACCAATCTGTTGCCCAAGTGAGATACCTTAAACACATCTGATTTTCAGGCAAGGCCACACTTCCAAAGGATCTGTTACTTCTGAGAAACGTGGCTAACTGTAACCCAAGGTGCGTGCATTGGAGAAGTCTTGTGGCAGGAAAACCAGAGACTTCACAGCAAGGAGGTAGATGCACTGAGTGATGCTCATGTGAGGAGTTTGCACAGCTGCTGGCCCTCACTGGTCTCTGGAATACAAGAATACTTCCAGTCTACTGGGTCAAATCCTGCCTCTGACAGTAATGACTGAAAGACATTGTAATGTAACAGCTGCTTGGTGGCCAGTGTGAAATGAATTAGTTATCTCAGCCTGCTGCCTGGTAGGCAGATGGCCACATCAGACCAGCCATTGTCACAACCGGAACTAAGCAAAAGACAGGACTAAATGGATAATGGAGACAAAAGTGACCTCTTCCCTCCAAAGGTTGTACTCCCACATCAAAGATGAGGTCTTAGGAGAAAGTATCGAGATGGAATCCTTCTACAGTGGCTGGACTAGATGACCTTTGAAGGTCCCTTCCAACCCAAACTATTCTATGATGCTGTGATATAGCCAAACTTATTCTGGTGGCAAGACCATTCCAGCAGACCATTAGTGGCAAGACCATATAAGACCAGTACAGTGCATCTCTAACCACCAAGAAACCACTTCATTGTTAAACGAGAAATAGAAAACCCAGTATGTTCTAACCACTCTGGCTGAATTAGAAAAGTTAGTTCTCAGGAAATACCAAATTCAAAGATCAGAAACAGGCTTTTTTAGGTGAAAGAAACGTCATGCACAAGCCACAAAATGTTTTTGAAGGAAAAGTGCTTCCTTCCAAAAATTTCATCTCCTGCACTTAACTAAATCACTTGAATTCCAAAACCATTGCCACTTTTGGACAATATAAGTCCTTCATCAAGGACTGTAGTGACAGAACATGGGACACTTAAAGTTGCATATAAAGAAGAAACTCTTCCCTGTGAGGGTGCTGAGGCGCTGGCACAGGGTGCCCAGAGAAGCTGTGGCTGCCCCATCCCTGATAGAGTTCAAGGCCAGGTTGGACACAGGGGCTTGGAGCAAGCTGCTCTAGCGGAAGATGTCCCTGCCCGTGGCAGGGGTTGGAGCTGGATGACCTTTAAGGTCCCTTCCAACCCAAACTATTCTATGACTCTAGAAACCAGAAAGGGTATCTAGAACATTAAACATTCAAAGCTAGATATCCAAGAGAATGTAACATGCCATCTTCATACGGAGGGAAGGTGTTTTTCTTGGCTGTGTCGATAGCCTTGCAAATTCATACTAAGAGGCATGCTTCCTTCCAAGAATTATCTGGGGTTTTAACTTGCTTTGCTGACACCATGCAGTTGTGCTCAACGAGGAATTAAGACTGTGTGAGTTTAGAACTTAAGAGCCCTCTTGCCCAAGGCAGACTGGGTGAACTTCATGTCTGGTAAGGCCTCTCTTCATCAGCTTCCTCTCCCTTATAACCTAAAGATATTTTTGGCAGGGTAACTGCACCTGCAGCCTTTGGCCAGCTGTTACCTGGTCCATTTGCTTCATAAGGGAACAGCTTCCTATTTTGACTCTAATAAACACATGTCCTAAAGAAGACGCTGCTGTTAATGTGCCTGCAGAAGCAGCTCAGCCCTTTGTTGTATTTACTGTACAGGCAGTTGCCCTCTAGGCTGCATTTTACAGAGTTTCTCTTTTTTGAGAGCCAGATGCAAAGATGCTAAAGGCAGAAAACTTGTTGCTAAACAGCACCTGTAAATACAGGGATTATGAGATCTTCCTACAGCTTCATCTGTGACCTGATGTAAAGGCTAACCCAGGGCAAGAAGGAGATTCTTGGTTCAAAGCTTTCTTTGGTTAATGTATTTTAATGATGGAGCTTGATAACCCTGGGGACTGAAGTCTTTTATTTGTATCAGTGAAATTACACAGCAGGAAGAACAGCAGTGTTGGCTTTCCCTTGAGTTGTTGTAAACATACTTCAGTACTGGTCTAAAAGCCCCCTCTTAATACTGAAGATAAGAGTTCAACTGTGCCATCTATCTTTGTCTCTGCTGGAAGTGTCAAAAGGCCCAACAGAACTGGTTAATTACATATCTCTCCTGGACAGATCTCTACAAATGACTTCTCAAACATCTCACACTCACACAACAATCATCAGGCAGCTGCTGGGCATCTCTCTGTTATTTCTGAACCAGAAAGGTAACACTAAATGTTGTGCATGCCCACGGCAACCCCACTAAAATACTTGTTCCACAGACAGTAGGTTCATCCCTGAATATCCAGGTAAGTAATCAGCTCAGACCACCTGCTTTGTTATTTGTGAACGCTAAAGAACAAGGAGTCAGGCACTTTAGGAGGCTGTAAGTAGAGCTGATAATGGCTCTTTGCCTGATACCCTAGGTATTGTTCTTCTTACCCAAGACTGTAAAGTTATCTGTACAAAGTTATTCTTTGATAATATGACAGGGATTCCCTGATGCCATAAGAGCCTTACTGCTCTAGAATTACTATCATTCATTACCTACTTAAAATTAATAACTAGCTTTGAAGATTCGAAGTAAGAAACCCTTTCAGATTTTCAATTAACTCCTTTATATTGTAGATATATGTAGATAGTAACAACACAGGGTGAGAAGGTATTGGGTGTAGCTTGTTTCAGTATATTAATGATCTTCAAAATGAAGCCTGAATGAATACATGCAAACTGTGCATCCCCCCACATTTTCTCTTGCACTCAGACTCTACCCCAGCATGTACTCCTTTGGCTGGGCAAATAAAAATATGTGGATTTGCAGTCAATCTAACACGTCCCACAACCCAGGTATCTCGACTGTTGGGAACTACAGAGAAGCAAAGCAACAGTTTCAACATGTTCTCAATAAACTGTCAATGATACTTCACTCTGAGGATACAAGAATTGCTATAGACATGGAAACATGACCTTTACCCTGCATCATAATGCACTGAGGAGCAAAAAGCATTTTTCCATCTTCTGTTTTCATAGGTTTTACCTTAATGAGAACCTAGTTCATGATCAAAATTCCTACATGCTGTTGTAATGCTACTAGTACAATTGCAGGAAAGCTCATCTGGCTTCAGGTAGTGCATCCTGTAAAGCCAGTGCAGAACTGCTAGCACAGGACAACCTCTTGTGCTTCCCCTTCAGCTCACATTTAAGATCTACAAAGCTTCCAACTCCTTCCTTTAAGAGGTTTTCTGCAGAGTATTTTCCACCATCTTAACGATGCATGTTTTACTTCTGACTGCCATACTCCTTTTTTAATTACTTCTTATACATCCAATCTAAATACTTCATCACTAACCTTCATGGTTATGCTCTTCAATATCTGGCATGATGTTTGGTTAATAATCAATCAGCCAAACTACATATGTGTTTATACGTGTTGTATCTTGTGTGTTTACACATCAGACACATGTATGTACTCTCCTTGTAAATAAGCCCCAACCTACTAATCAGTTCTGCATTAGTTCACTGCATGCATTATAATCCATAAATATGATTTACATCACTAAAGGCCAGTAAATGGATACAACACTTTAAATTTGCTGAGTGCTGCAGAGAAGGACCGAAAAAACCTCACTATTGAATCGGTAACGGGTAAGATATCCATCTTATGTGTCTCAGTGCAACTCTGAAATGGCCTATTTTAAATGCAGGTCAGGTATTTTTTATTCTGCCCCCTCTCCAGGTGCTCTTTTCCAGCACTATGGCTACCCCTGCTTACCTACCCCATCAATCCTAAGGCTGCAAACTATTCTTCCCAAAGTTTGCAGGAGAGACTGCAAACACACAAGAAGCCTGAGGTGAAATGCATTTGTCAATTCCAGATCCCAGGTTAGTTTCACCTAATAACTAGCATGGCAGGAGAGTTGGAACTAGATGAGCTTTAAGGACCCTTCCAACCCAAACTATTCTATGACATAGTTCTTTTCAAACACGGGTGTTGAACAGCTTTGTAAAAGTGAAGGGACTTTCCCTTATTCTACACATTCAGAAACCAAGGCAGAGGGAAGGTTAGCGTCTTGGTCAAGGCTGGAAAGCCATTTTACTGCCAAGCAGAGAATGCAATTCTTATACTTACCAACTTCCAGTATTCTCTCTCAACACTCACTGCCTTGCAAATATAAACTTAATTTCAAAACTAAGTTCTCACAGAAATATGATAATGCTGGGATTGTCAAAAAATGTGACATGCAATAGAGAGGCAAATGTCCTTCACTGGAGGAAGCAAAGTGCTTCACAATCTCTATAGGAAAGACAATGTACAAACATCAATGCAAATAACATTATGAATAACTTATACTTTTGTTTCTCTTTGGTAAGCTAGCCTGGTTCAAAAAGAAAACAGATCTCATACTCATTACAGTTGATGTGCCATAGAAAAACACAAATGTGGTATTACTGAAAGTAGTGAATTTCATTTATGTGTCCTATACGCTTTACAGCAAAGCTGCCAGAAATTGTGCCCTTCTAAAGTCTTTCCTTGTAGTAGTCCGCTTCTCAGTGTCACATCATCCATTGTAGGAATGACTTTTGCTGATCATATCCATGCGACATTCTTTCAAAATGAGCAATTTACAGAAATACAATCAGTGAGTGGTTTCAATCCTAATTTAATGAGACACAGGATAAGATTCTAAGGAATCAGAACGAGGCAATCAAGGGGAATAAAGGGTGGTCACTCACCTTTCCACCATGTGTGTCTGGTCCAGTGATAACCCATCAATTGCTGTGCATTCTGGACATTTGAACTTCTTCCGTGGGGTCACCTGCAGAAAGGCACGCCAGATATCATCAAATAGCAACAGAAGGGACATTAATCTCCTTGCTCAGAGAGCAGTGCAATACCTCTGAACATGCCTGCAGTGTAAGCTGAGCTGGCTCAAAAAGGAGGGGGGTTAAAAAAAAGGGAAGAAAAAAGCCACTCCATTCCTCCATTCAGCTCCATCTGGCCCGGCTGACTGCAAAATTCACAGGGGCCCAATAAAAACGGCTCGGAGGATTTTTTTCCTTCTGTAACTGAAAAGAAGTGGCGATGACAAGCTCCTTAATTCCTGTTTAATGACTGTTTTCTCACTGCCAAGGTCCCTGTATAAACACCATTTGTTCTTGCAGCCATAACAGCGATGAAATATAGCTTCCCATACTTCACCGTAACGTTAATCCAACAGACTCTCTTTTGCTCACTCCAGTTAGAGCTGACTGGCAAACCCTGCAAGACTCTCCGAATCGCACAGAGGTGCCAAATTACTCTGCTGTGCCCTCATAGAGCTCAAAACCTTTCTCAGCAAAAACACACACTTTATCTTCTAAAGGCTTTTCTAGGAAACACAGCCACCAGCCCCAGTAAATGATGATGGACAGAGGAGAAAATGGACCCTGCTAATTGAAGTAATGCCTGGTGGCCTCTAAATCTCATTCCAACTTGACACACTTGGAAATGAATGTACAGAGTGAATGTCCAGACCTGAAAACGTGTCGAAACATGTCAGGAAATTAATTCAGGGATAAAAAGTTCATTTAAAGCTGATCTTGCAATTAACATTCTTGCAATTAACATTCCTATAAATCAGCTGTTGCCAGGTCATGACAAAGAGAGCTGTGGACAGTTGGCAATTTCTTTCTGCTAGTGATCCCAAATAGTTAAAATATATATATGTGGGTGTGTGCATACATATATGCATACACACACACATATATATAGCTATCATTTAAATCACCTTCTTCAGACCTCATCTAGATGGCTAAAATAACCACCAGAAACAACTGGTAAAACAACAATTCTTTGTTCTTTAGCATCAAAGTTTTACCAAAAGGGCTTTTCTACCATGTAAGAACAAGACACCAAACCAGGGGTTAATGAGAGAAAAAATAAGATTAAGTAATATACTGAAGCCTACTAAATACATTTATATGAGTATATACATCATGTTTTGAGACTTTGTAAAGCTAAACTGCAGAAATGTCCCACCTTAATAACTGATTTTCCAGTGACATTTGCCACAAGAAAATTCATGGCAATATCTTCACAGTTCATATGAGCATCCACCCAGTTCTTGATGTCCCCAGGCATTTTATAGGTGTACAGATAGTTGAAATACTGTAGGGTAGAGGGAGAGAGAAGACAATTTTAAATACAGATGCAGTTAAATACAGATGCAGTAACTGTAAGACTAAATAGTTCAGTCACTGAACAGCAGGCAGGTAAGGATGGATTATGGGCGAACTGTGATAATGCCTTCAGGCAAGGACTACTTTAGCAGATACAAAATCATTTTTGGGTGCTTAGTTCCTAACCACTATACAAATTTCTTTACAATCTGTTTTCTTTTCTTGAACTGCTAGCTCCAAAGCTACATTCACTGCAGAATTTACTGTGCAGTTACAGCTCATGCAAACTGGCAAGAGCTCTCCTGGAAGGTCATGAAGGTAATGGTTTTATTCTATAGGCAGAGACAAATCAGTTGATTTCACTGCAGTTGCAAGAGATTTAGGGTTAGTTTGCAGCTGGCACTCTTGAATGTTGTAGAACAACTGGAGCACCTCCCGTATGAAGATAGGCTGAGAAAGTTGGGGCTGTTCAGCCTGGAGAAGAGAAGGCTGCATGGAGACCTCATAGCAGCCTTCCAGTATCTGAAGGGGGCCTATAGGGATGCTGGGGAGGGACTCTTCATTAGAGACTGTAGTGACAGGACAAGGGGTAATGGGTTCAAACTTAAACAGGGGAAGTTTAGATTGGATATAAGGAAGAAGTTCTTTACTGTAAGGGTGGTGAGGCACTGGAATGGGTTGCCCAGGGAAGTCGTGAATGCTCCATCCCTGGCAGTGCTCAAGACAAGGCTGAACGAGGCCTTGGGTGATATGGTTTAGTGTGAGGTGTCCCTGCCCATGGCAGGGGGGTTGGAACTGGATGATCTTAAGGTCCTTTCCAACCCTAACTATTCTAAAACATATTCACAGCACCACAAAACACAGAATAACAACAGAAACACACACAGCTCTTTATAAAAGGTTCATGTTGTACATTAGTATACTACAAGTTGTACATTACCTTGTGATAAAACGCTGCCCCAGTGAGCACCATTGAGACTTCATTGGTCCATTCTGATTCATATTTCCATTTGTTCATCTCATGGTCCCAAAGGTGCAGGCGGCCTGGATAACCAACCAACCTGTCAGGGAACTCACGCCAAACCTGAAGAGAAAGAGATGCGACACGCTGCAACACATCTGCACAGTGGTGCAAAGATCACTTTCAATTCTTCTAAGTCCTAATTCTTGGAATAGAAAGGTGCCTGGAAGCAGTATGAAAAAGGCTAAGCTTGCTTTGGAAACAACCTACAACTCAGGGAAGCCATACACCAGAGCAAAAGGCCACAAAAGCAATACTAACTCCCTTGTGAAGAAATACAACCAACTGTTCAAAAAGATTTTAACACTAACAAAACCCAAGCATGATTAAAATGGAACTTTTGATGTTAACTTCAGTAGATGTGGCTATAACCTAACTACTTTCACAGCTGGCTTTGGATCTAACCAGCATGCTTCCTTTGATAAGAACAGGCTTAGAACAGGCTTATATTTTAATATTTCTGGTATTCTTTAGTGGGTGCTTGGATGGATCTACTGCTACATGCAAGGCCTCTTTGCCCTTGACTTGTTCCAGACAGCTGGATACAATCAAGATACCATCCTTGTCACTCCATACATTATTTTGTAGCTGACTACAGGATCAAACACAGTAGACAAGAACAAGGAGAAGGGCATCATTAACGCAACCTCAGTTCTCCACACTGCTGGCCACATTAAATAATGGACAATTTCTGTGTTGGGAAAAAAGGGAGAAAGGATTATAATTATTTAGAAGGGTCTGAACACTATTTGCTTGCTGAATGCACAGTTTGTCTTTTTGCTGATCACTAACAAAGCCTTTATCTGTGTTATTTGCAGACAAATTGCTCCAAATCTGTCCTTTAATCCAAATAACTGCTAGGGTTGTTGGAAGAATACAAGCCTTGACTCTCTGATACTCAGTGTTAGGTCACAGAGTTTCTGGCTTAGATTGCTAGTGTATAAATAAACACATACAGCCCCAAATTTCATAGTGTATGCAAAATCAACAACAAAATATCTCACACATCCCCAATGACCGCTTCACTAGGAAACCTCTTTTCTCTGTATATAAAGGCAAGGGAACCCTACGGTTGAATGTGCACTATAGAAAGTGTTAGCTAGAAGTCCACCATCCTACAAACCTTGCCTTGTCAGCAGTTCACTTGGGGCACTTTCTATGTGTCAGTAAGTTTCAGTTGGAAGGCCTGGACTCCAAGGACTCCATGCAAGTATTTTATCAAAGTAAATATGATAAAACAATCAGCTCTAAATTCCTGCTCCTGTATCCATATTTCTGTGATTTTTGCATTACTATATACCTTTTCATCTAGACATCTCAACACATTCTATTGCTGTCAGTTAATATAGCTTCAGAATCCCATGATGAGAGCAGTTATTATTTCAAACGTGCAGATGAGGAAACCTGCCAAAAATCATACAGGAAACAAAGAATGGGAACCAGATCTTCTGACTCCCTGACTTGCACTTTATCCAGAAATCAATCTTTCTAGACAGTTCTAGGGCCCAAGAAGTGGGAGTGTATTTAGACAGGACAACCTCTAACGCAGAGGGGTTTTGAAAGCGGGGATGATTTGGAACTCAAGGAAGAGAATTCATAGGACATTGTTACAAGTTGGTGCTATCAGCTAATTAAAAGCACAGATTTTTGGCAGGCAAGCCACTGAGGTCTTGAAATACCTATTTCAGATGTCAAAAACATGAATAAAGAACACAAAACCAAAGGGATGACCAATCCCTCTTCCCAAATTTTATTCCTTGCTCTCCAGGACACAAAAATTAATGATTTAATTTTAGCATATTTTGAAACCTGACTATTAAAATGCTCATCTCCAGCTGTCAGAAGGTACCACCACATAAGCTACTGCGGCAGTTCAAGAAAGGATTTGACAGAACACTACAAACCTGCAGTGCACTGGGCTATGAATGCTTGTAGAGGGAATAGCATGCTCTTAAAGGCAGCTGAAAGAAAGATTAAACTCAGCTACTGCTTCCCAAAGGACTTCAGTGCCTTCACAACACAGCAGCACAGATTCATACCCCTTCTAGTTTTTGTCCTTGCTGTCATCTTCAGGAGTCCAAATACATAAAATAAAAGCTATAATGCATGTTACTCAAACATCTCTTTGTAAAACTCAACCCTACCCTGATACTGGCCTCTGAAAACTGTGAGTTTGATGCATCTAAAAAATAACTTGGTTGCTTTAAACAAAGATTCCTTTGAAAGTGCTATCAGAGTCGGTGGAAAAGCTTGGCTTTTTCATAATGTTCATCACTAGCTCATTCAATGGTAACTCCTGGAAAGACCCCAAATAGCTGCATCCAGCTCACTGCCCAAATCCATACACAGGTTTTGTGCCAAAATTAATATATACAGCTACTGCTCATAAGGAAGCTTTCAGAATGAAAATACTGACAATGACTCCTATACTATCCTTTATTTTGTACCAGGGTCCATTTTCTGGTTTGAGGGTTGCCTCTAATTTATTAGTCTGTTAGGAATACATTCCATTTTAGCCAGTGATCTTATTAATGTTCTCAGACTAAAGGAGAATAGCCTGATTTAATACTGGTAAGGGACACATCCAAAGAAAAACATACTGCCAAGCGAAGAGGAGGCACGCTTCTTTGCAGACACCACTACAGTGACTTTGCTATAGAACCCTGAACATCAGTATTTTTGGATGAAGCATCTCCCAGATGAAAAGTCAAAGAGAAGTTCTAACTTGGTAGCTTTACTAAAAGTCTTGTAAGAGATACTAAGAGAAAACAATAGCAATTGTGTTTCCAAGTCAAGTTCCCCAAGTCACATAAAGTCTCGTTCCTCCACAGTTCTTTCTGCCTCCTAGCCTCAACCATTCCATGTTGTTTCTCTGTGCCATCAGGACAGCTGCCACAACTCATTCTCCATGTAGCCAGAACAACAGAGAAGCATTTTCTTTTCCAGAATAAACTCCAACATTTATGCATTAAATGTATTAGACTATATTAAGTCACATGCAACTGGAAATGGCTAATTATTTTATTAAATTGTAAGAAATTCTAGTTGTAATCAGCATTTCCAGTGAAAATAATGAAACAAAAATATTCCAATGAAAAATATGAAAAAAAAAAAGAAAAATTCCAATGAAAAATGATAAGCATTTCCAATGACAACGCTGTAAGCATGAATCACTGATTACCCTCTACGAATGAAAGAAATCCCAACCAATCAGTATTCCTTCTCTTCTGCCAGAGCCACATCCACTCTTAGGTCTACCCTGGTCCTCAAAGGGACAGCTTGTGCTATTGCTAAAACCCAAAGCTATATGGCAACACAAAGCCCATTAAAAGATAAATGATGCTTCACATGCACTCAATTTGTAAAATAACATCAATTCCAAAAAGAGCTTTGAAAGCAGCCAGCACTTAACCATCAATAAGTGTTTTGGAAACAGAGTTGTATTATTCTTCCTACAAAGGAATGCTGAAAAATCTACTTTTAACAGTCAGAATGGGTATGGAAGAATTCTTCTAAAGAAGGCATTCAAGCTTTAGGATGATTTTAGCCTATTGAAACATGTAATTCATCAAGAGAGTTGACTGGTTTTAAAGAATGCCAGAGACATGAAACACTGAAAAATAGCTCTGGGACAGACTAGGATCATCTACCAGCAGAAGGCAAAAAGCTTCCAATGATAAAACACAAACTTACCAATGCACCAAACAATATTTTTTGTGAACAAAAAACCAGGGACTTAGAGCAATAATCCCAATTTAGACTGTTTCTATTCCTGCTGCAATGAAAATACTCTGTAAGGACAAAGTGCTGCATAAGTACATAAGAAATCTTTATGAACTTCGTACTTGGAAACTGTTATCCCCACTTTTCCGGGTGACACAAAGAACACAAAGCCATCTGCCCCAAAGCCAGTTGATATGCAGAGGTGGGAACACTACAACGCTTGCTTTCAGTCTCACCTTCAGACACCAAACACTTGAGGAGAAGCCAATAGTTCTGTTTTCATTTGTTTAAATTATGGTAATCTAAATACTTGCTGCTTTTCTTGCATCTCTCTGATACTCCCTCTGTGGACACAAAGATCAGTATGTGGAGAAGAAGCTGTTTAGCCCCAGCAGCTTTTTCCACCAGTGCCCCAAGTCATGCCTGTGATTTCACCACGTAACTTAACAGAAATGCTTTTTCCAAACTCAGACTGTCGTAAGTATTCTTCTGCTACCTTCGTACAGCAGCACACACGGACTACTTTTCTGCTTGCTCCAATAGATTTATGCGATGCCATAAATCACTGCACCGTAATAGTTCACTTTTAACAAGTAAAAAATGCCTGACACTTTGAGTGTTACTATAATTTTTTATGGCTGAAAGTGCACAGAGATCAAAGTTTCCTGGGTTTTTTTAGCCTTGCTCTATACATTCAGACAAGTCTGTGACAGAGGGGGTTTTGCCACATGTTTAAATGTAAAGTCTCAAGGATGTCAGGAGGAGAAAAGAAAATTACTGAATGTCACGTTTCCGGCCCTCCTTATGCCCAAAGCAGAAGCAGACATACTTTTCAAGGAAAACTTTCTAGTAACATTATATGCTGCTACTGTTCCCTCTGGATTCCCCTGCAAATGAGTCAAGACCAAGAGAGATACTTTTCTGGTAACACACATAAACAGATAAATAAATTATCACAGGCTGAGGACAATTTAAACATCTGGGAGCCAGCTCAGGCCTGTCAAGCAAGTCACAGACACTCAGGGACAGGAAAGATCAATCTTCAGCCCCCGAGTTCTGTGCCAGAGAGTAGGAACTACATCACCCACCCTCCATATGAGGAAAAATGTGTATTTATAAAATACTCTGCTGTATTTAGGCATTTCTATTCATTTCATTTACAGGGGAAAAATAAAAAGCAATCTCAAAATAGAAGGATTCAAACTCAGCTATCTGCTCTATAAAGCATTTCAATTTTCCATCAATGTGGCTGTGCAGTTAAGTTCAACTCCCAGAATCAAGAAGTAATGGGATTTATAATAAAATGCAAAAAAGCCCTGCAAAAGCAATAGCCTTCAGCCTGCCAGATTAAACAATCTTGTGTCCCAACAGTTACATTCACACACTGAATATAAGGACTGCTCCTCACATAGTCCCTACAACCAATGCATATGGTCCACGGAAGGCCAATAAATTAGCCAGCACAGTCCAGCAGCTAGACCCGGGGATGAAGAGTTGCAAGTCCCAACTGCCACCTAATCACACTGACTACAGGGGAATTCACATCACCTTCTCTTTTCTTTTTCCATGAGGATAACCCTTTCCTGCCTTAGCACAACCAGACCCAACAGATATGAAGTCACAAACATTCTCCACTGAGGATGCTTAAATTAACGCTTCAGACACATGAGTACCACCTTCTATTTCTCACGACTTCTGGCTGACACAGCTGAAGCTCAGCTGCAGTTTGAATCTTTGCTTTGAAGCCCTTCACGCCTGCTTTGCCAGTAGCAGAGATTCATTTGGAATTACTTAACACAGTCACTTAGGTTTCTAGAGAACTTATTTTTATTTACTTGGAGACAGCTCGATGAAAATCAAAATCAAACTGCAACTGGAGCCAGGATTTACACGGCAGGCATGTTATGGCTTTGTTATCTTTCATCCCATCACTTCACCCTGAAAACTAGTAGTTATGAGCATCAACACAGGCAAAAATAAGTCAGCCTGCAGAACTGCCAACACTTCATTGCTTTGCTGTTGCAGTGCAGTGCTTAAAACATTCAGTGCAGACAACAAAGTAGTGAGAAGGTGCATGTCCCCCAAACCCTCTTCCTTCAGTTGTCTTCTCTTCATTTCATCTTTCATACTTCATGTTCTAACCTGTTACTCTTAACCTGGCACGGAAATTATTTCCTTTCTGGAGACACACATGATAGATTAAAACTCTGTCTCCACTACTTAACATCTTTGTTGTTACATCAGCATATCTACATTACCACAAGTCATTTCTGGAGGCCAAAGCTCGTTACTCGCTAACAATCTCTTTCACTTGAGAGGGAGAAAGAGCCGCATTTTACCACATATGTATTCACATTAAAGAAATACTTCCAACGTCTCTTAAAAAACATCTTCTTGTGTTAACAACTGCAGTTAAGATAGTTAAAAATGAGACAACTATCACATTTAGTTTGCTCCCTGCCCTTTAGAAAAGTGGTTTTCATTATTTCACTCTATTTAGGTAATAATTGTGTGTTCTGGCTCCCATGTATGAAGCCCAGTGCTGTTTTACTTTTGATATTGCAGGTACAGGAGTGACTGAATAATTCAAACCTTTCTTAAAATGTAACATTACATTTCCTAACGATTCTGATTTATGTACAAATATAGCATGTTTGTCTTAAATACACACATGTCACAATAAGGTCAGATTATGAACTGTGCCATAAACTCAAATACAAATGAAGACAAAAATTAAGTCATTCAAAGCAAAGCTTTGGAAGGCAAACAAGAGTGTTGCTTTTAAGTAAGCATAATTTTTAACAAATAAATGCCAACGAAGACACGAAGACTGTCAACCTCTTCTTACTGCCATGGTTACTGATTTGGACAAACTTTCTTTTTGTGGATACCCTCATTACAACAGCAGCTGTTGAAGCTTTGCCATTTCAAGCATATGATACATGCGTCCCCTCCTTGACATTCTTCAGTTCCTCCCTTCACTGTACTCCACCTTACTTCGGCATGTCCTCAAGGGCCTCCTCTGTTCCCAACACTTAATCTCTGAAACTTGTCATGTCCATCAGGATGCATTAACTTGGACAGCACTTGTGATTTGTCTGAAAACTCTTTGAAACTGTTAAGAAGAATGCAATTCAGCTTCCAGACTGTTCCCATTACAGCAATTACACAACATTTTCTGGAGTCTCTTGGCATTATTGTGCCAGTTACTGAAAATTTTCTGTTAGCTGGCCATTTTTTCCATGAAGCAATGACTATCTGCAGGAATATTTCAGTCAACATTGAACCGTTACAGTAAAGAGAAAGGCAACAATATGAATCAGCAGACTCTGCAGTGGCTCCTCCACTTTATACACACATGCAATGTTGAAGAGGACAGCCTAAGAGACATAAAAAAGGTTCTCTTACCTCATAGCCAAACTGGAGTTCATCTGAGGTTAGCATAATGATATCATCATCAATAGCCAACACTGCCTCTGTTTCAATCTCATCATAGGGGAAGAAGCGGTTACTGAGCTTGTTTTCTGCTGTCCGAACGACTTTCAAAGGAACACGAATCTTTGGCCAGAGAGATTCTAGAGAGAAAAATGAACAGAAATAAAAGGCAATATTATACTCCTGAACAAGTCTTCACATCTGTCTTAGCTTCCCTTTACTCTTTATTTCTTCACATCTTAAACCAAAGCTTCTTAATGGCCAATTCTACAACAATGGTTTGCGTTGGAAGGGAGTTTAAAACTCATCCAGTTCAACCCCCCTGCCATGGGCAGGGACACCTTCCACTAGAGCAGGTTGCTCTAAAGCCCTGAAGCAGTAGTACACAATCACTAGCTGCAAGCCTACAATCACGAACAATTTGAAGAGGAATGTTAATTGTACCAAGTGCTGAGAAAAATGAGTTTTATTATACTACACTTTTTATTAACTACAGATTTTATTAACTACAAAGCAACAACTCAGAGAATCCATGAGTTGTTCTCTGAGTCAAATGAAAACATGTATAAGGATACACCTTGAGGGAGGTGATCCTTTCCCTCTATTCAGCACTGGTGAGGCCACCCCTGAAGTCCAGTTGTGGGCTCCTTGGTGCAAGAGACATGGACATACTGCAGAGAGTTCAGCAAAGAGCCACGAAGATGATGAAGGTACCGGAGCATCTCTCCTGTGAGGAAAGGCTGAGAGAGCTGCAACTGTTTAGGTGAACAAAAAGACAGACTGACACAACTCGACACAGTTGAACACTAGGACCAAGGTGACTTTTTCCCTCCTGAAAAGGATTCAGGGGTCGGAGTGGAAATTAGTTCTCTGGGGCAAAATGGATTAAGGCATTTTTTGCATATGCAGATGGTAAGCAGTAAGAAATGGGGGGGAGAGGGAAGGGCAGTTTTCCCTGTATGCAGACATAGCCACATAGATACTAAAATACTGTTTGATTCTGGTGTTTGTATTTTTCCAAGCATGTTAAAACACTGGAAATGGTGCAGGAAAGACCCACATAAGTTATTTGAGGGCAGGAGAAAAATGCCTTACAGTGGAACTTGGAGATCAATCTATTTAGCTTACTAAAAGAAGGAACAGAAAGAAGATTTGATTAACATGTACAAGTACCTACACAGGATGAAAAATGCCACATATGTTCAACTAACTGGAGAAAGACATAACAAAAAACAATTACTGGAATCTAAAGCCGGGCAAAATCAAAGTATAAATAAGGAAGGCATTTTTAACAGTAACAGTGGTTAACCTCTGGAAGAAGTTACCAAGGACAGCAGCTGATTTTGTACATCTTGGCTTTCAACAAGACGGGGTATTAAAATAGAAGATGCACTCACGTTAGTAGTCACTGGATTGAAAGGAAAAGATGGTCTTAAAGGTGTTTTCCAACCTAAATGATTTTGGGATGTGGTGACTCAAAACTTACAGGTCAACCCAGATAATCTGACTGCCCTTTTGCCTCAAACTCTATAGATAGCGAGACTGTTGACTGTCACCAGGATGAGAATAGGAAGCTTGAATGTAAACTCCTAGGACACTGGAAGTGAATACAGAAATTCAGAAGATAGCACAAGGAAATACGATTCATGGTTGTGTTTTTTCAGAATGAAAAGAGGAAGGTAAAATTGGTGTCAATGAAAAAAGCCACTGTAAGGGCTGAGGAAAGAGAAGCCCTAACCTGAGAAAATGGGTTTAGTTTGTCAATAACAATATATAATCAAATTCTGGAAGTGTTCTCAGCCGAAGGATCCAAAGAAATGTTGGATGACAGACAACCCCAAAACCAAACAGGTTACAAAGCAACACAATTATACACAGACTTCCAATCCCATGATAACTGAGAATCAGGTCTGCTTCCAAGAAGGCTTTATCCTCTTTCCACTGTCAATCTGTTGCACGAGGGAGCTACTACCAAAGAAGAGCTGCTGCTTCATTCCAACACGTACAAGTTAAACTCGCTCTCAGGAATGAGCGTCCACATCCTCATTGCCACTGGGTCTCTCAGATTTAACAGCTCTCACAACACTCAAATGAAACACAGAACTGCACACTGCTTAGGGACCCCAGAGTCCAAATACTGCTTTACTGAGAAAACAAAGCAGTTCTTCCAAACCACAGAAAGAATCTTCAAAAGTCAGTTTTTCTTGGAGCTGAAGTTTAGAAAGACGGATTGGCATGCATGGGTGGCCAAAAGGAAGGAGAAGAAATACAGAGTGATAGCTATTGGTCAAATTTGTATTCAGTTTCCTACCCTGAGTTCTTTCCTGTGAGACTGAGAAAATGACTGTAAAATCTATCTTTATCTGGCTGGTCCTGTAGACTACAGCCTGTATTTAACATGTATGCAGGTTCCTGTCCACTTTTACCTAGCTCTTTTCCTTCTAGAAGGAGGCAAGTGGCATCAACTCAAACACTAACGCACACTTGAGTGGCGTGTTATATTGAATCCAGCTGGAAGGATTCAATCACGTTACTGATGTGCTCCAATGGAAGTTACAGTCAGCCAGCAGCTGGAGAGACACTGCAAGAGCCTTGGGGCCACAAGACTATTGTTGAAGAGCTGTGGATTCCAGTTAGAGTGCAATGAACTCATTTTATTCTCAGCATTGTAAGGTCTTTGAAATCCCCTGCTTGAACCATAACCTGAAACAGTGATTCCAGTAGAATTCCAAAGTTTTCATCTTACTACTCATCCTAATCACAGGAGGCAGTAACGCTGGATGTCTAGAACCACATATTGCAAATTACTTCCAAGTCAACTCACTGCTTTCTCATTGGTTTACCATACAACATGCAAGTATCCATAGTTACAAGACAGTTACGTGTACCTCACAAAGACGTATCATGGCCTCATAATGTAGACTGTTTAACACTTCCAAGCTACATAAAGACCCCCTTTGGCTAATAGCCTATAATTATCCAGTTATAACCCCAGTATTGGTATCAAGTAATTTTAAGCAGCTGGCTAGATGCCCAAAACACTGTCATAAGGGTTTTGGTAGCATTCAAAATTGCCAAAGCTATGCCTGCATTTGTAAATTTGTATTTACAAGCATCAACAAAGTTTACAATTTTATACAGGTTAACAGATCTGCTACACATAAAAAGAAGAGAACCAAATTGCGACAAAGATCTTATTTCAGTGCAAGAATGCGCTGAAAAGTCACTAGGATTGAAAAACAGTGATTTGGAAAAGCAAGCAAGCATGGACACTTTAAAGTTCAAGCTCTCTGGAAAATCCACTGTTTGATAGCTCACTAACAGACATGCCACTTGCATAAAAATGTGGTAACAGAAGAAAAGGTAATGAAAAGTGTATGAAAAATGAAGATGTAATCTAATTCTCATCAGCATGCGTCTCAGATGTCAGCAAATCCTGTTAAATCCACGTGATTTACTAAGGGCTTGGAAGGTCTCTCAAAATGACCAGCTCTCAAAAAGAGGTATGTTACTGAGAAACATGATCCAGAGTTTCTGAATTTGCACTTAAGTTAATGAAGTAATTTATGGTAAATGGTAAAATACCATCAGTTTGGAGAAACTCTGAATAAGACATTAGGGTACCAGTTACTCTGCAGCATGCGAAATGAAAGCATAAGACTACATGCAGCATGCTTAGAGGCTGACCTGATACTGAAAGTTGCTGCACCTACAGAGATGAAAGCCCATGGGAGATGTCATAAAAGCATAGAATCATGGAATGGTTTGGGTTGGAAGGGACCTTAAAGATCATCTAGTACCGAGCTTCCGGCCATGGGCAAGGAAAATGCCATGGCATGTCACAACACCACTGGGTAACCACTGTGGTAGCCTGGGCAAAACTGACTATCACAAAGCAGGTTCCACTCAGAGATCCAAGTGTTCAAAATTAGCCTTGAAGCAGGAACTCCAAAAGAAATATGTTGTCAATAAAACAAAACAGACAACAGCTACTTCAGAAGGCAAAGTTTTATAATCCATGGGGAAGGTTAAAACTGTCTGCACTTACTTTAAAAGAACATAAAAGAAGAGTGGATACACTTCCACACATAGCAGGAATGTGGCTTAAAAAGAATTCAGACACAGGGTCTGCCACTTCTATAAGACCATGTTCTCATAGATACTCATGCTCTTTTCAGATACTGCTTGGAATGCAATGAGAAACCTCAGCACCAGCAAAACTTATACGGGATAAAGTCTTAGTTCGGTAGAATTTATTACAATCAAAGAAAAAGCTTATGCTTTATTTTTACACTACGTGGGTACCACATCATTTAACAAAGAATTACAAAGATAAAGGAAGCCCAGAAAAGAAGGCAGATGAAGTCATAAAGATAGGATGAGAAGCTTTAAGCATAGGTTGGATAGGTTTGGCCTTTAAGCAAGGCCAGGTTGGATGGAGCTTGGAGCAACCTCATCTAGCAGTGTCTCTGCCCATAGGGGTTGGAACTAGATGATCTTTAAGGTCTCTTCCAACTAAACCCAGTCTATGATTCTATGATGCAAAAGTAAAATGTTTGTTTGCCCTGGGAATTACCCTCACTTCTTTCAAAACCAGTGAGGACGTTCCATGATGCAGATTACAGAGGTAAAATATGAAAATGGAGTGTATAAAAGTCTACGTACACACAGAGTCTGAAGAGAATGACAGGCACCTCCAATTGCACATCGTACTGAAATAATTATGAGAGAAGAGTGTTTGAATAACACTTACACTTGTTCTTTGGCAACAAGACTCAAGGCACTGATTGCAGGAGCTGCCCACAGAAAACAGCATGTGGTCTTCTAAACACAAAATCAGCAGTGTTGCCCAGCTTTGCCAAATGCAGCTTTCACTTCTAATGGGCTTACAATCCCTTAACAACAATATACATGGCTGTGTATCTGGCCAGCCCACAATCCCACCAGGAAGTGGGGCAAGTCCATATCTCACAGCAAATTTTCCAAGCATGATTCAAGATGATTTTCACAAACAGCAGGATCGAAGAAGTCTCATAATTATACTCCCAGTTAAAACACTCATATATAGAAGAGAAGAAAAAAACACCCATCCTCTAAATATGCATTTCTTGGCTACAATGTTCAGTGAATTACATGAAAG